TTGTAGAATGGAGTCAGGGCATTGATGCTTGATACCTATGATTTTGATGGAGATGTTTGGTGTTGCCATTCATTTGGAGGAAAGTGTCATGACTATACTGCATTTGTAAGTAAAATCTTCCATAGCTATCAATTTGAGAGCAAATATTTTGTTTGAAAGAAGTTATTGCTCTAATACTCAACATGACATTGGTCTAATAGTTAAAAATAAGCAAAGGTTTTTGGATAGGATCAAATCTTTTGTACTCAACGTGAGATTTATTACTCTATTTCAAGTATTCATTGCCTTTTCCATAATTGAATTTTAGTGTAAAGAGTAAATGATGATTTTGCCTATATATGTACAACTGTACATGTTAATTTCTTGCTTTACCTACCTAGCAGGGACCAGCTATAGACCTTTTAAAGGAAGTTGAAGCATTCTTATCAGCAAACCCATCAGAAATTGTGACCATAATCTTGGAAGATTATGTTCAAGCCCCAAATGGATTGACAAATGTATTCGTTGATGCTGGATTGATGAAATACTGGTTTCCATTGTCTAACATGCCAAAAAATGGTGAAGACTGGCCGCTGGTCAGTGACATGGTTGCTAATAACCATAGACTGCTAGTTTTTACTTCAATTCAGTCCAAGGAAGCAAGTGAAGAAATTGCTTATCAGTGGAATTACATGGTGGAGAATCAATGTATGCATCCCTGTCCAATTCGATTCACACTGTTACTGTTTGTATGTAATAATAGGATGTCCAGTTCAGATTTGTCGTGATAATCATAATATGAGCACACAAATTGTGTGTTTGCCTACCTTGCTCACAAGATAGGAGTGAACAAATTAACAGATTGAGTAGATTCAAGAATTGTTTGTAGCTAGATTTTGATGGTAGGTTTTACGTGTAGAACTCAATTCTTACAGGTAGGTCCCTGGTTTTTGGAACCAATAATCTGAACTAATGCTATTGCCTGGAACTAAATGGGCAAAACTGGTTCAGATTCAGTATAAACCACCAAAAACTGGCTCTGCAGGTGGAAAAATGGATTGTTAGGACTTACCTGTTACTGTCTTTGGCCTCTTTAACATATTTATCTTTTCTCTTTTGGCAGATGGGGATGGGGGGATGCATGCTGGAAGCTGTCCAAACAGGGCAGAGTCAGCACCACTCACTGACAAGAGAAAATCTCTGGTCCTGGTAAATTACTTTGGGTCTGTTCCTGTTAAGGAAATGACATGTGAAAATAACTCTGGGGCTCTTATCAACATGCTTCAAACCTGTTATGGCGCGGCTGCTAATAGATGGGCAAACTTTGTGGCCGTTGATTATTATAAGGTAAATTGTCCTCAACAAACCCCTTCTTGTTCAAGTTTTGATCTGTTCATGACTTCATGTGAAAAGATGTTAAATTTGACAACATAAAATATCTTTGGTTGTGAAGAGGAGTGAAGGAGGAGGGGCATTTCAAGCTGTGGATACATTAAATGGGAAGCTGTTATGTGGATGTGATGATATTCATGCTTGTGTGGTAAGAGAACTTTTCATAATGCAATTACAGAAAACTGTTTCCCAATCAGGACTGGCTAATTTTAATGTCAGCCCGAGCGTCAAACAACAAAGTTGTGTTTAATGATCATTAAAGGTATTTTTTGGTTTCCATGCCCAAACTAGCATTAAAACTAATCAATCTAGACTGAAAACCCGCATTCTCAGAAGTATGTGTGTACGCAACTATATGGCTCCATTGTTTAGATATTTATACGTAACAATCTACTAGCATGCACAAGAATAAGGTGATATCAACAAATTTAATTAGGCCACTCCACCACTTGGTATATCAACAAAACAATGCTCATATAGTCTCTAATCTGGTGTGGTTTTGATATTATCAATAGCATCATTTCATCAAATTTTGCAATAAAAGAGAGAGAGAGACTTGTTCTCTAACCATGTTCCATTTCCTTTAATTTGTTGCAGCCTGGATCAACGTCAGGGCCATGCACACCCCTGTGAGATTATCACACGGCAAAAGACAAAGGAAATTCATGAGTAAGGACTCCATCAATATCCTCTGAAGTTAATGTTTGGTTATAAATCAAGTTCTATCAATAGATAAGTTGGTCCATGAACAAGTGTAAATATACAAAATAGAATAAACCCATTTTGAAGTTGGGCTGGATATAGAGATCCACTGTTTTTAAAATTGGACCAGTAAAAAAGGGCTTCATGGAGCCAAAACCATTTCTTCTTTTCCATTTGGTTAGCATATAATGCCTTGTGTTGGACCAAAAGGGGAATTATTAGGATTATATGTGACCCTTATTGAGTATTAAACTTCTTAACATTCAAGGTTTGTTGCAAGTAATCTTCATAGATCTAGAATGGATGCGCGCACAACCAAATCTATCAATATTCTCCATTTTTTTTTCTTTTTTTAAAAAAAAAAAACATTAACAATTATACTCATATCTTAAACAAATATAAGCATGAATGCATAGGGGATCGTATGCATGCATGTGCAATGATACAAATAAAAGACAATATGAATTCTTTTATGAAAAGGAGAAAGTAGTAGAATAAGATTAAGATGATCATAATCAAAGTCCAGCCTTTCATGCACATCTTTATTCAAAATAATTATTGTAATTACTAATTAATAAGTAACTTTTTGAAGGGTGTCCTCAAAATATTATCTTAACATATCCATTTAATTAGATCAATCCAATTATTCTTCCCCATTTCCAGTGGATGAATAAAATAAAGAGGAAATTAGGAAAAAATTTCATAATATTTCGATACTTTTGATAAATGGAATCCAGACTTTTCATGAGTTGCTAACCATATATTTTGCATAATGAAACTTGAAAAATGTCGAAAAATCATGGCTAGCTTCGTGCGCATTTTAATTAATGAATAAAGCTGTAAGCAAGCATGTGGGATGCAGGTTAGGACATGGACTTGCGTGTTTCAGGATGACAACATATTGTCTTAGGATTCTATCTTATTAGTTTGTCTTAATTTGATAATTGATGAAGTTTGTTTAAGGAGGGCATTGATTAGGGTTCCCATACCATGTTGTTTTGTGTGAAAAATGACCTACAAATTGTTGAAGCTTGTGTTTTATATATTAATAAAAGTAATTTATAACAAAATGGAAGAAAGAGAAGATGGTTCTTTGATTGTTATGTTATCCTTCCTCTCGATGGTGGCCAATGAGCATCAGACTTTCTCCGATGACCCGAAATTGTTGGCCACACCAGTTGGGTATAATCAAGCCATATATACAACCTTTCCTTTAATTTTCCTATCTCAATAATAGAGCTAGTCTAAGCTCCTTCATTTTCATTGATGTTAGAATTTACAATGTGTTAAGCTATTAATTTGCACAAGCATTGCCCAAAATGAAGGGATTTTCTATATAGTATGTGCTAAGAAAACTAATTAAAGTTGTAAAGACGCAAGTAGAGAAAACTGAAAGAAGTGTCTTATTGATATGTTTTCAAGAATGCACAAGGATTTGTTAAATCCATGTCCTTGATTTCAGGGTTGCTTGTCATTCGGAGAGGAGTCCACTCTTACAAAGAGTTTAAGTATAATTAAACAAAAAAGGACAATATGAGTCAGAGTTTGTCAGATATAGATTTAATCTGCTGCTTTAGTCAAACGCCGAAGGCTTGAAGCCAATGGTTTTTGAACTGCTCAATCTTAAACTTTTGAATTAATCAGAGTTTAGCAGATTAATTACCCAATTTATTAACTAAGCATGTGAGTTGGTAGGTTAGGAGGCATCTAACACATGCTAGCAACCATTACCTTGAGATATAACAATAAAAGTAAAAATAAAAATAATGATAATAATTAATAGCTATACGATGATTAAATTACATCCTCCCACATGTGCAGGATTTACCTAACATTAGCCAGAATGATTTTAGTGTTCTGCCTTCTTCTGTGCCAGAGTAGTGGCCTTCATGTTATTGGTTCTTAAGTGCATTGTAAATTAAAAAAAATTGATAAGTACATGTACTTTTACAATTCAATTGGTCAGGAGGCATTTCAGGGATATGGTTTTATTTTATGTATCATATGCTATAGATATCCCCCTTTTTTTAAATATTCTTGCAACCTTAACCTGCAAGTCAAGTGGTAACAGATCCTCCTTGACTTTGGCCATCCATGCTTTGCACAGCATAAATTGGGCAAATCCCATTCTTGAGATGCAGATTCCTGCGACCTTATTATCAAGTGGTTCTCCAGTGGGTGAACCCTTCACATTCTCCATAATTTTTTTTATGGGCCAGTCAATTGACTAAAACTCAGGAGTGATTCAAATACTAACTGTACAAATATTAACCTTAATGTCATTTTATAAAATAGGTTTAAAGTTTAAGTCTTGTGTTAGCAATCAGATAATTTTTTTAAATGAATTAGATTAATGTAAGAGATATGATTTTAAAATTATTTAAAAAGAGATTAATTTTGAAATGTCGTAAAAGTTAAATTGAGAATATTTTAAGTATAAATACTAAAATAATAGTAATAATAATAATAATAATTTAACTAATTAGTCATTAGGACTATCTTAATTTATAAAAAGCTCATAAAAAGTCTCTAAAAATAAAGGGGGAGAAATTATTACAAATCAAAGTGAATGGAATCTAACAATATTGCCGTAGACAAAATATTCCACTATATAAATCAAAACAAAAGAAAATTCTCGAAAGGGATATGAACAAAACTAACATACGGTATTTTCTTTTCTTGTACCAAAATTCATGTTCTGCCTTGTAAACGAGGCGTGTGGTACATGTCAATTGTTTGGTCTCGTACCTAAAGGACGATTTAGGACATCACATACCCACGAGGGAGCAACGTGAAGTTGGGCATTGTTTCCATTGTTTGATTGCAAGCAAAGAGAAAGGAAGAGACCCACAAGAGCTAAGTTTTCATCCCAATGTGGCCAAGCAGGTACCAGATCACATGGCTTTCGGAGCTTGTTTTTTGACACAAGGTTATCCAATGTGGGCTAAAATTAGGAAGAGAAGGAAAATGTGAAGATGGGAATGAAAGAAACAACAGCAAAGACAAGCACTCATGCATCAAAGCAAAGGGAAATGGGGACCCTTTCAACACATGGGGGGTGGGGTGCATTTCAACTGGTGCTCTGGAGCCATTATGCCAAAAGCTAAGAATCTTTTGCAAATGTTGGTTGGAAACGCACAATTGGGGCATGCAAAGCCTTGACACTATATATTAATTCTTCAGTTGATAATCTTCAATCTTCATACTCAGAGTATATCTTTACTTGCTGTATATCAATAATTTTTTTTCTTCTCTTTAATTATCTCAGTTTTTATGCGCAAATGATGATTGAATTTGATCAAGATTACATCTTGTGCTACCACAACTTAAAGATGTTTCAGCTTGTGGAGCTTAGACGACTCAATTATTAAATGAATCATGCTCGAATTTGGTGCTTGATCCCAGTGGTCCCATGGGATCCTTGCCACAAAAAATATAATTTAGACTATCTAGTGATTTATTATGTTCCTTTAATTTGTCATACTTTTTAAAAAGAGATCGTCAATTTTGTTTATCAATTTCAAATTTCAATACAAAATTAAACTCTTCTTTTCTATTTTTTTTTCTTTATTAATAATTACTTTCACCATTTAGTACTATTTTTTTATGTGCAATTAATGATGATTCTTATTAAATTATTAAAATTTTTTAACTTATATTTTAAAGATACACATTGATAATATAATTATTATAATTTTTATTATTAATTTATATAAAAATAATTATAACAAATTTAAGTTTTATCAACCGTCAGTTTTTTTTTTATATATATTAACCATCTGTATCTAGTAATCACATTAAATCTCAATTAATACGAAATGAAGTCAAATTAAATCTCATTATGGGAAAAAAATTTTCATATCTATTTTTCTATCTATAAGACTTGAATTCAAGATCTTGTTAAAAAAGAATCGAATTTATTCCCGTCGAACCAATAAGTTGTTGGTATCAACCGTCAGTTTATACCACTTGTGTAATGCAGAGGGAAACCCTGCCGCCGCCGTCATTACCATCACCGGCAGCAACAACGGTCTCAAACCAAAAACCTTGACACCAATACTTCCTCAAACCAAACATTATAAACTGACTATGCTTTTATAATTTTATATAAGTACATCATTCCCGCAACATGAAAGTGACGATCTCAGTCTCGATCGTCCAGTTACCATATGCGTTAATCTGAGAAAATGGGGTCAGATAATAACGTGTTAATTAATTAGGCGATGCAACAATTTTTGTTCTTGAAGGACTAAAACAACAAAAGTAACGAAAACTCAATTCAGTGAGAGGTCGGAGTTGGATATTGGACCACCACACGTGACCCTCATCCTCCTCTTCCGTCATCATCATCTTTCTTTTTTTTTTTTCATTGTGACCCTCCTATTTCTCTATCCCCAATTTCCTACCACAAGTTTTGAGCCTAGATAGAGGGTTAGATGTCAGATCTTAAATATAAATCTTTGTTTAACCAAATAAAATTACTACTTTGTAAGTTAATCTCGCATTGGGAAAAAAGGAAAAGGTAAAAGGGTATAATACTTAGTTAGGGTTTTCTGTTTTATAATTTAACTTATTTTATAATTGAGATTATATTATATTGTAAAATAAAAATTCTTTAATGAAGAAAAAACTCTTAATATTAACAAACTTACACGTCATCTAAAACTTTTTATTTTATAATCTAATACAATTTAAATTATACGTAAAACAATTTTTTTTGTAATACTTAAATATAAAATGAAGTTACCAATATACCTATTACTTACTAATTAGTAAGTTATTAAAAAAAGAGTTAGTTTTAAGTTTAATGTTTATACATTGGGTTTAATATCCCATGTTTTCATACTACTTAACTCAAACAGGTCAATTATCATTTATATACAAGTATAAATTATTATTATAAAACTCCATGCATGTGTAACGGTTAATTTCGAATGATCATGTGGGTATTTTTGTTTTAAATTTTAAAAAATAATTATTGATTATTGATTTTAATAAAATAAATTACATATTTTAGATTAATAATTATTATTATTATTATTATTTGTCGTAAATCAACTAAAAGTAATTATCTATTTTTGAATAGTCAACTCACTCTTTTTTTCTTTTTTTCTTTTCGATAAAGAACTCACTCTCTTAATTTTTTTTTTTTTGTTACATGTTAGTGTATATGAAACTAAATGCACTCTTTCTTGTACATGAATTTTTTAAATATATTTAATAATAAATTACATATATAAAAGAACAGTTCTCATCATTTTTAATA